AGTGATACGGCCTCCAAAAGACAAGAAATTGCTCTTCCAATCAAGCATCTGTTTCTTTATCTTATCTACCAAATCATCCAATTGGGATTGACAAATTCTACCCTTAATTAAATTGACACCCAAATATTTAATTGGAAACGTCGCAATGGAGAAACCAGTAAAATTAGCAACCCAAGTAGCAGTGCAACTGTTTACCAACTTACCAAGATGAATATTACATTTAGTAGCATTAAAGTGTAATCCCGACAGCAATTGAAATTCCTCCAAAATATTATAAATACTGTTTGGAAGCATTAGAAAATAAGATGACGTCATCAGCATATACTAAATGTGAGACCAGCACATTAGCTTTATTATGATAATGAAGAGTTGGCTTTTGATTAAATTTGTGATTGATAACTCGAGAGAAATAATCAAAAAACAAAATAAAAATTGTAGGGGAAAGAGGATCACCCTGCTTAATCCCACGACCGACCTTGAAAAAAGCATGTAATTCTCCGTTAATGAGGATACTATATTGATTAGACTTGAGCCAATTATGAATAATATACCGGAACGAGCTAGAGAAACCCCTGGCTTTGAGAATGTCTAAAATAAAATCCTAATTAAGAGAATCATAAGCTTTACAAATATCCATCTTAATAATCATATTACCACCATGACATTTCTTATCAATGTCAAGGAGTAGTTCTTGGGCAAGCATGATATTATCCGAAATTCCCCTACCTTGAATGAAAGAAGATTGGTTGTTAGAAATGATTTGATTAAGGTGAGGTTGGAGCCGCTTAACCAGAATTTTGCTAATAACCTTGGAAATAACAGAAGTAAGAGCTATTGGGCGGAAATGATGCCACATAGTTTTATTGTTAGATTTAAAAATAAGTACCATCGTAGCGGCGGAAAAACAATTCCCTTAGGTGTCACCCTTAAAAAAACTCTGATTAGCTTGCACCACATCGTTTTGAATAATATTCCAGCTCTTAAGATAGAAATCCGAGGTGAAGCCGTCAGGTCCTGGAGCTTTATTGCAATTAATCTCCGAAAGAACCTGAAAAATATCATTCGCAGTCATGATACCACAGAGCTCTAAATTGTCAGTGTAATCTCGTACATCATTAAAGAGAGCACTATCAATGGTGCCAGTATTTTGAGAAGGGAGAAACAAATTTTGAAAATATTGCACAGCACTAACTCCCAGATCTCGATTGCCCGTAATCCAATTACCACATTCATCTTTAATGCGAATAATAGTATTATTCGCACGACGTTGTTTTATGCAAGCATGAAAATATTTCGTATTCCTATCCCCATGGACAAAATGTACCTCTCCCGCCTTTTGTTGCAATAACTCTTCCTCCTGAATGGATGCAGCAAGGAGTTCATTATGAGCATTTTGTAACTGAGAAACCACATCATTAGAAGATTCATCAATAGCCTGAAGATGTTGAACCATTCTCTCAGCCTTAATCACCCTAGCATGAACATCACCAAACACCTCCCAATTCCAAGCTCTAAGGGCACTTGCCACTTTTTTGTGAAGTTTCCAAAGTCTGAACCAAGCATTTCCAACATCAGCAACATTCCAATTATCAGCAACAAGTCCTAAAAAATCGTCATGCTTAGACCAAACAGTAAAATAGAGAAAGTGATAAGTAGTAGCTTTCTTAAAGAAGTAAGAGGATAAAAGGAGCGGTTTGTGATCCGAGCCCGAGCTCGAAAGATGTTGAACCTGAGAAAAACCATAAAAATAGAGACAATTTTGATTAACAAAACATCTATCAAGTCTCTCAAAGACCTTACCTTGCTTCCAAGTGTATTTGGAACCAATTAATCCCAAATAAACTAAACCTGCATCCACCATAGTTTTGCTAAAGTTATTCATCAAAGAAGGGACGGCCCTACGGCCACCCAATTTCTCAGTACTATTCAAAATCATATTGAAGTCTCCCCCCACCATCCATTTATCATTAATAACATTGACCAAGCAATTAATCTTGTTCCATAATTCATATCGAGCCGAAGTGGACGTGCTAGCATACACAAAGGTAAGCCAACCCGAGAAATTATCAATAGTATTGTTGAAACAAACTGTAACAAACTGTCCATCATCCGCAATGAGATCCATACAAATATGTTTCCTCCAAAAAACCCAAATCTTATTAGAGCAGTTACAAAAGTAGAAGAAGTTTTTAAATTTCCCCAAAATCCGATGATGATAAGAAGAAACCATTGGTTCCAAAATCGAGAAGATGCCAATTTTATGGATCCTAGTTAAAAGCTTTAATTTACCAAGGGAATTAGGATCCGCAACTCCCCTGATATTCCAAATCAAAATATTAAACATCAGTGGACAAAGAACCTTTACTAGAAATTCTAGTTCGGGTTTGTCTAATTTTGCTATCAGAGTGAGATTGATCAAGAGAATCCATATTACTGCCATACCTTAGGTTAGCCAACTCATAATTCCCTTTTTTTCTTCTTCGACGTGATTTTTGTACTTGTCATTCCTCCCCAAGGAGATTGGAAACTACGCCCACATCAACAACATTATCAGGTACAATAGTCCCCTCACACCCCTGTGGCCCAGAACCAGAAGTGTTAGAGGGAGTAGAAACTAAATTAATAGCATCAATAGCATGTATATTTCCATGTAAGGATCTAGTCTCCACAGTAGCATCCATATGTACCGAACTACCCAGACACCCATGAAACTCATTCTCTAAAGGAGCATAAATATCATTAATTGTAAAAGTATCATCAGCACGAGAGTCCTCCAAAGGTCGAGGACCGTCACCAACATCCTTCATAATCAAATCAGTGGATGTCACAGTAGTGTCCACACCCCTAACATTCAAAACACCCACAATAGGCACAACCGTAGGCTCCACACACTCAGCCAACAAAGAGGTTGTTGGGGCCTTTTCGACAGAAAGCTTATGTTGATTTTGCCCACCATTCCTATTGCGCAATTCCAGATGAAGATGGAAACACTGAACTGAATCATGACCAAACATTCTACAATGACCACAGTAACGAGGGTGTTGTTCCAAATGTACTTGCTGCCAATAACTGTTGTGGGCCGATCCAATCCAAACCTCCTCAGGGGGAGGCAAAGTGACATCACGCTCAATCAAAATTCTAGCCATGGAAGGCCCAGATAAATTAAAAGTAGGAGCATATAATTTTAACGGTTTGCCAAACATCGCAGCAATAGAGAATAAAATTTCGTGATTAAAAAGATGAACCTTCAAACACAGTAAACGGAGCCATACAGAAATAATAGGAAGTTCAACCTTCGCATCAAAATCAACTGACCACTTAAGAATCTTCATAAAAATATCATCAAACCGCATAAAACGCATCGCAAAAATTCTTGCATAGTCTTCTTCACTCAAAAGTTGAATCAAAATGTGTCGGTCATCCAAAGGGCCAACTTTCCAACTTCCAATAAGATTCATGAGTTCAAAATGCTTGCAAATAAAATCGGTCTTCGGATGTCCATATAAAAATTTTCCCACTAAATTTAGACGACAAGATGAAGCAAGTATCGAGTTCTCCGAATCAGACAGGTATAAAGCAAGTTTTTCCCCTTTTTTTCCGGATTTCTTAAAAAAATATATGTTCCCCTCCTAAAATAAGAGATTCGTAGAACGAATTAGGAAAAAATAAATTATTACTCAAAGCCTTGGAGGAAACATGAGTTCCCGCAACCGCTTCAGCAAAAGTAGGAGCCATAGCATGCCCGAGAGACCAAGATGTAGCAAAATGAAACTCAAAAAATGAAGGAGAAGAAGAGTGAAACCTCGAAAAAGCCTCAAATTGAAAGCAATCGAAGAGATTGGGGAGAAGTCACCTGGAAAACACAAGGCAGAAAGATGGGAAACCATTGTCGCCGAAAATGCCAGAAGAGGGAGGAACCCTAGCCGCCGCCATCATATGTATATGCATATATATATATATATATATATATATACATTTGGATATATATATAGTTGATTAAATTTTCCCTCCGAAGTGGGCGACGGGATTCTAATTCTGGCGACCGACAACTTCCACAGGACGACTCGCCAAAAAATAATGCCGACAATAATGTATGCAATGTTTTACTTCTAATTAAGTAAATAATAATCATCATAGCATGTAACTTTAGGGGTTTTTTCCCCATGATAGTTGGGATGTTTTGTGATTTTTCCAAATTCAAAAAACATCTCTACACATGTAACCCTAATTTTCAAGCCTGTGTTTATTTTTGCTTAAAATAATTACATACACTAAAATATGAATCAGAAAAATATGGGACTTATTTTGGTAGGTTCCCTGTGTCAGAAGACTCTAGGTAAAATATAAATAAAGTTTGAATATTTATGTAAATTACTATAGTTGATTAAACCCTAAAAACTCACAAAAACTAAAATGAATAAAATAATATAAAGAATTACTAAAAATAATTCCACATTGTAAATAATAATCATTCCAACTCACTAAAAAAATTTTAACTTTATTTGAATTAGTTTCAGCTCTACAGTCTATTTTCTTAGTAAAATGGTATTTTTGCGATAAAATAATTATAAAAAATTAACTATAATTAGAAAAATTATGAAAAGTGGTTTTCTAAGTTCCTTGTAATTAGGGGCTCTTAGCAAAACTAAAAATTACTTTAAAATAAATAGTTCATTTTTTAGCTATATTTTGAAATAAAAATAATTAAAAATGATAAAAATTCTAAAAGTATGAAAATAACCAAAAATTGTTCCTAATTGTTCTCTGATCACTTAGAACCCATTAAAATATTTTTCCTAATTTCTTTGATTTAGTTATGTATTTTTAAATGTAAAAAATGTATTTTCTTTAATTTTTCATTAAAATAATTGTAATAAATGAAATAAAATTTGCAAAATTGAATTATTTGTTTCTCTGGGTCCTTTGGACTTAAAAAATTTTAAGAAAAAAAACTAAAAAGTGATTTTATTAACTAAAACCATTCCTTTATATCTAATCACTAAAATCAATAAATAATTTTAATAACTAAAATAAAATTTAAAAATTTATGAAATTTTATCCAAATGGTCCTCTGACCTTCATGATTCTTCAATAATTTGCTCATGAACAAAAACTTTCTTTTGATTAATAAAATAAATTAACATTAAAAATCCTATTTTTGAGTTAAAAATAATTATATAAATCAAGTAAAAATTAGAAATTCTCATTTTCTTACATTTTAATTGACCCATGAGTGAGGTACCATAAAAATTTCAAAGACATTTGAGTTATAATTGATAAGTTATGAAGTGGAGAGCCCTACGGGTAAAATGGTAATTTTTTATTTTGATGACTTAATTAAAATTTAGGATTAACCAAAAGGCAAATGGGTATTTTTTATCATAGTGAGCTTTTTTGGATGTTTGAAATATAATGGGTTAAGATGTAGAAACTAATTTGCCACTTATAAATTGTAATTTTATAAGTGGGAATTGTAATTTTATATATAATGGGAATTGTAATTTTATAAATTGTTATGACTCAGAGTTTAATCTAGTTGGATGATACTAAGGTAGTGGGCTCAAGCTAGAAATATAATAATTCACTCATTTTAAGCCCCTAATTGGTGATTAGATGATAGTATGTCCCTTTAATGAGAATTGGATTTCATTTGATTTAACATTCCTAAAATTACAAATTTACCCATGAAATCTTAAAGGGCTTAGTAGTGAACTAGGCCTAATCCAAGATTGTATAATGAGGTTTAGAAATGTTAGCATAATTAATTATGAACATTATGAAAAAAATACAAGCTTGACTTTAATCTGGGGTATAAAATCCTTAATGATTTTGAGTTTGTCCCACGGGGCATTAACTCACATAACTTTTAAGTAAAACATTAAGGGATTGTCTGATTACCCCACTCTTGTAATCATTAAAATGTCAAAGTTCACTGAGTATATGGAGCATTAGTTTATTAAATATAAATCTAAATTTTGATGATTAATTGAACAATATAATAAGATAAAATGAACTCAAAACATTTCAAAGGGTTTCAAAAGTAGTTAGGGATTGTTCCTAGAACATTTTTTTGAACTGTTGGATATTTCGAAGGACAATTGAACTTATTATACATTATTCTAGAAAAACATTCATTAAAACCTTTAAAGACCCACCAAGTTATGACCTAGAGATTGGTAGATACACCTTCAACTGGTCTTCTTGTTTTCCGTTCTTGTATTTATTTAAATTTTACATAAAATTATATATATGTTGCAAGTTTTAACATTTCAGCGGGAGCAGCGAGAAGATGACAAGTATGCCTTTACAATTTTTTTTACTTTTTGTCATTTCATTTAAGGTAATTTATTATTGCTTCAACATACCATGCATGCTTGGTTGATAAAATAAAAACATTTCAGAACCAAAACCTAAAACAATTTTCAAAATTAAATTGAATGCTTTCAAATGTAACTATAAATTTTTTGAAGTACAAATAAACATAAAACGTCATTTTGAATTAATGGGAGTCCCTGGATGAGGTAATTGATGATTTCTAACGAGATCTCCCTAGTTTAAATGAGCTTAACAACTCGTTTAAACTAAGTAATTTAAAAAGAGAATAGTGGTACCAGAACGAGGGAACCGTGAGATCCTAAACGGTGTAGCTCTAATCAACTTTAAACCCCCTCCCATATTGATTGAATATACTTGTTATTTAAATATTTGAACCTTATACTTTAGGATTGCTACTTTGCCAAGGAGCTTGGAGCTAACTTTGAGGGTAGCATTCTACAACAGTAAGGAAATCTATAACAGCAATCTCTTCTTTAGAAATAAACAACAAGCTATAAGATTCTGTGGTGGTTAGCCTAGTGCAACATAAATCCTCACTTTATCTTGAGGCCTTTGCACATTCATGTTGTTCATGTTGTGCAATTTAAGCCGTTGTGCAATTTAAGCCCAAACTCATTTTAGGATTTTGAGGTTGTCGTTTTTTAGGACATAAATCCTTATATCTTCCATGTTATTTATATGATTATGTCATGCAAATGCAAGCCCTAAATAATAATAATTGGCAGGATGAAACACTTGATAATTTCATTTTTGAACGTAAAGCCAAACCATAAGATAACTTGGGAAGTCATTGAGGTTCTCCTCAAAATCTATGACAACCCCTTGTTTTCTTCCTTTGGATTCATTAACAATATTCTAAATTTGAGCCTTTCCCATTTTTCACTCCTTGGTTTGATATTTGAAATGTCCCACTATTTGATTTTCTTGTAGATAATATTTTATGATCTATATCGAGAGTTTTCTTCGGTGACCTTGGTCGTCTATGATGTAATTAACTATAAGGGCTTGTTCTTATAAGATACTTTAAGAACCCGACTTAATATAAACCTTATCTAATCTTTTATGATGGGTAGAGGAATTTGTCAGTCAACATAAATGATTTAGCAGACTAAAATGGATGTCATAAGTTCTTTAGTTTATTTAATAAAGCCACAATAGTAAGTAATATGTTTATTCCTTGGGATAGCAGTATCACTTACGGTGTTGAGCTCGTTTATTTAAACTATTGTTTATATGATATCAGTTCAGTCTCATATTTTCAAAATTAAATATTACTTTACAAAATAATATATATTATTAAATCTAATATCTTCTTCCCAATTTGGCAACCAACTATATTGTGGCGACTCCACTGGGGATTAGTTTCACTCTCCATTATGATCAGAAAGTCTTGCATTCATATATTGGTATTGTTTGTCAATGTCCCTCATGGACCAGATTACCCTTCTTCTGTTGGCAAGCTTTGCTCATTTCTTTCTTCGGCAAGTACAGTCAACTCTTTTGGACTCTAAGACCTTCTGTTTAATCACCTTTAAATAAAGAGGTTCAGGTGTCCTTTAAAACTTTATCAAGTGTGTTGGTAGACTAGTCCCGCCTGGGCGATATGTGTTTTTAAGTTGGTCATGTACTGTGTACTAAACTTCACCATTTCTCTTATCTTTTTGGTTTGATTTGCTATTTTGTGAATCAATCAAAATCCTTACTTCTCTTCATCCTCATTTAATTTTAATCAAAACTCTTTAATGAACAACAAATTTGAAAATGAAGATAAGAAAAGACGTATCCAGTCTACATAACAACCTTTCTTAATTTTTAGTATTCACGCTGGAATTACAAAGTTATGGCTGATACTAACCCTCAAAATATTTCTTTGAAGCTTCTATAATGGAGTTCCCTACCCTCACTTTCTCCTGAAACATGCCCATTGGTCGTGATGCCTGTATCATTGCACCCACAATCAAGTTTGGAGCTGGATTTGACGAGTTTGAAGTTGTACTTGGCAAAGCCCCGTTCGTCTTCATGAAGGTTGCTACTCCAAAAGTTCAAGAGTTTGATCAGAACTATCCTCAGGCCTTCCTTTCTTACAAAAGTGAAGATAGCTACTTCCCTGACACCTGTTAGGTTTGTTGTCACCGCATCCACCTGCTCAAGAATCGTCACCCTTACTGATGTCGAATTCACTGTCACTTGCCTACCATATCATCTATTAAAGGAAAAGAAATCTGGATTAAGGAAGATTTTGTTGATGAGTTCACTACTCTGCCAGAAATATTTGAAGTCGTTCCAGTTTAGAGGTTAAGCCGTCATCTAACTCTTAAAGAAGAAACCAAATCCGAAAGATTCAGAACTGACTACAAAGTACTATTTTAAAGATACAAAAAATAAAGTGCGAAATTCTAATATTAACTACTAAAGTGAATGATATTTAAAATGCAGTTGAACGACAAAGTTAACTAAACTACAAGTTATACTTTCAAAGGTAAAACTGCGAAAACTAAACGAGATGTTTGCTCATGAAAAGTTTAAATTTAAGAAAGCATCCTTTCCATTACAATGAGCATATGGATTGTGAAGACATTAAAATCATTTGAATATAT